TTCGTGAGACAGTAATTAAAACTTGGAAAGGGTTAAAAACCCTTTATTATTCAAATAAGACTTAACATAACTCCATCTTGGAGTTTTACAATAAAGCCGACACTCGGGCTTGAACTTAGGAAACTAAAAATTAAACTGTTTAACTAAAAAGATATAGCCAAAGTATCAAGATTCTAACAGAGTTGGCCCCTTAACACTAATTGACTGTGAAGCTATTAAGGGCCTGAAGTACGGCCGAGCGTAATAATAGATAGTTTAAGAGAGAGTAGCCTAAAAAGGCAGACACGTGCTAGCCAGAATCTCTGGTTCTCTCTGATTAAGACAGTAGAATTTTGTGGTTAAATACCGCTCTTCCTCAATTTGCATTCAAACGTGATTCTAAAACCACATTCTAGCCGGAAGTGGTAAGCTGAAATTTCAAAACTTAACTGTTAATAAAATTAACATAATCTCCAGTCCTGCAGATCTGTAGACATTCAGATTGGTGTTCTGACTAAATTTTCTGACATTAAATTGATTAATATTATTTGTTTCAATTGGTTATCTAATTTCATCAATTCTATCTCACCATCCCAAAGATTCCCAGTTCTTTTATAGGTTCGTGGTATATTTTATGCATCAATAAATTGGTTTAGTAATGTAACTATTGACCATTTATTTTCAAATCTGGTAATAACTTTTTTTCACAGAGATTCATAAATATCATCTGTGGTTTGAATTTTCTTTGCTTTGCCAACAAGAGCTGATTGCAAATAATAAAACTTTTCTGTCTCACTTAAATGCTCAGTGTCATTAATTATCGACTTAAACTGAACTTTAAAAAGAAATCATTTTTGTTAATTTCTGTTGAATTTAGTCAAGGAATTTCCGGCAGTTTAACTGAATTTTGTTTATTTGATACTTCTACTTTGCTGTTAGAAATACTGTTGTTGCTACTGCACTTAGTTTTCAGTTCCTTTAAAAAATAAGTCTTACCTCCACTTTTTGAGGTGGACAATTTCTGAGAAGATGGTTTCATGTTTTTTAGAATCTTCTTCATTTACAACACCATAAAGTTTACATTTAGGTTCTTCACATTTGTTTGTAATGATTTTAAAACTGTCCAGCTTACATTCCATTCTGTAGTGTCAACGTTTGGTTGATCATTAGTCAAGAAATCTTTAAATCACGTTATTTGTGCTTTTAGGTTATCTTTTCTTTGAATATGAACAGTAATATCTAATGATGCCATTTTCCTAATGTTAGCAAATTCAACAAAAAAAGGAATCTCATTCAAAATATTGCTGAGATATTTTGGTGAAATGAGACCAATGTTTTTGGTCTATAACTATGAAATAATGAATGTAGCTAATTAAGAAATGGAAGCATTTTTTTTTTATTTGCTTCATAAGTTAACTATTCTGTTAGCTGTCACTCAAGATGAAAACGGGGGGGGGGGATGTATAAAACTGAGAACAAAAAAAAAAAAAAAAGGCTAGACTTGCACTAACAGCTACAGCATTCATTGCTGGACAAAAATTGTCAAGGCATGTGTTCATGCAACAGTCTGGCACCAACACTATTTGTCTTGTACTTTGTTGTTGTCATAAGAAAAGATTTTGATTTTCTTCAAATATGTGTGAATGGGCTTATATTGCAGATACTGTCAAATCTGTCAAATCTGTAGAATTTTTGAATTTGGAAAACCCTTTTTAGTTTCTTTATGTTTGGAGAGTTTGTATGTTCTTGAGAGTCATATCAATTTTCTTTAAATAGAGTATAATTATTAGTATATGTTCCTGTAATATTTTTTTTTTTTTTTTTTTTTTTTTTTTTTTTTTTTTATCCTTTCTAATATGGGGATCAGTTTTTATTGTACTGGTTGAAATCTATTTTATACTACACATAAAAATATTAATGCTGCTGGAGTTTTATCATTTTTGTATGCATTAAATCAGTGAATATTGTTTCCATATTCATTTAAAATTGCTTAAAAGTGGAACTTGAGTCGAGATAGGTGTGGTTTAGGTGAATTTGATGTAGTTAAGTAGTTTTTTTTAATAATCTTTGTTACTTCAATTGATATCTGTACTACAGCTGACATGAGTCTGATTTTACTACAGATGATACTTTTGTCAACTTTTGAGTAGTTTTTATGATTCAAAAATGAAATTCTAAGTATTATAATTATAATAATAATAATTATTATTATTTTTAAGTGAAGAATCTTGAATGTCAAGAACAGTGGTCATAAATTGTGGTACCGTCTGATGACATTACTTTCTGGATACAAAAGTGGTTAATGAGACTAGATTTCGATTAAAAATACATTTTTGACTATTTAATATTTCTAACATTAACTGAAATATGCTGGGATTTGTACCTTTGCATGCTAAAATGTGATTTACATAAGTTTCATGATTGCATAAAAATTTCCAAATTCTTGTATTTCCTTTAACTAAAGTATTTTATCTAATGAACTAGTCTAGTTGGAACAAAACTAATAGCACTCGATAAATCAGAGCAGAAATCCATTCTAGTTATTACACCAGTTCCAAGAAATTGATGCGAAAATAAATAAATAAATAAATAAATAAAAAAAAAGCTTTTTTTTTTTTTTAACTAGGAATATTTGTGTCTTTGTTGAGTTTCTCACAAACTATTCAAGCCAGAGTAAAACTAATCACATCATTTGGCTGAAAATAATCTGTAGATGCCATGGAAACTAAGCTGCAGTCAAGTCGTAGAAAAAGGTATTTATCGTACAGAAACTGTTTGTATCATATGTTGCATTGTGCTTATCATTTATTTGATCGAGAAATATTAAGTGAGTGACCTTAGGCTTTTAACTTACCCACATTCTCCTTCGTAAGTCAATATCTGCATATTTTGTGATTAAGTTTATAATTATAAATCTCTGTTCAGACTCATTTAATTTATTTGTTTGCACTCTAAAATGGCATTGCACAAATGAATTCTGAAATGGTAAAACAGACATTTTTGTGGTGGGAGGGGGTAGAAAGAGATCAAGGTTTAAAAACTGGAGGTGATATTTTCATACTGGCAGTGCTTATTTATGAGTAGGAATATTTAAGATAATTGTAAATAAGGTAGACTGCCTAAGAACACTAAACACTTTTAACTAAAAGTGGAAAATCTACTGATATTAAAATTTTTCTTTTATACTGGCTTAATCTCAGTGTTAAGCTGAAAATTTACCAATTAGCAGACTGATAATCTTGGTGAGAATAAAGGAAATTGTAGATGAAGTAATTGTAACTGGTAATGCATTGTTTTTGATGAGATGGTTCTACGAGTTTAATATTATATTATAAGTTTAGAAATAAAGAATTACAGCCATAAACTTGGAAACAGATAAAAGTTGAGAATATAGCTCATTAAAAACACTAGATAAAAGAGGCATTATTTAGATAAGGCATAATGACTCTATTCTCAAATGTATTACAAGAAAAATGCATGGATAACTGTATCTTATTTATGGGCTGGTTAAAATTATTAGAGAAGATTATGAGTATTGCAAAATGTTGGTATTTTCTCATTCCAAAATTTGGTAGAATTGCCATTTTTGGGGGGTATATTTTATGTATGCACACAACAATAATCGATGCATGAATGCTCGTAATACACATGTCCCGAGTGCTCATGGATTTACATGCTTTATATGTGCCTCTCATTTTGCTAATCAGTAGGTTCCTGTTTCTACCTCTTTTTTTTTTTTTTTTTTTTTTTTTTTTTTTTTTTTTTAAATGGATTGTAATGGAACTGAGGCATCTGCTGCCTGATGAAAATCACTGTGTTGGTTTCTTCAGAAATGTGGTGTTTTGCCTACCAACAGAAAGTATGAAAATCCACATTCCTTGAAGTTCTAATGCCTATAGACTGAATTGTGCGGAAATACAATGTTAATATCCATTATGTAATTTTTTTCTCACGAAATTTCTTTTTTCTTATGAAATGCTTCTTTTTATTATTCATGAACAAAACAGTATCCAAGAATCCTGAAGATAGCCTCATCAGAGTGCGAATGATCAGAAAGTACGAAATATCACATGCTCTTGCTTATTTACAACTGTTGAGTTTATGGTACTAATTGGTCCAAAATTAAAAAAATAATTTTCCCTTGCTTAGTAATATACGTGAATTATAGTTATTAGTTATAGGCATAATCAAGAACACAAGGAGGTAATGCATTATAGAACACAAAGGACAATTTCTTCTTATGAGTATTTAGTTTATTAAAATAAAAACAGCAATCGTGCTAATAAAGAAGTATGCAATCTACTGTTTTTAGCTATTTATTTATTTTTTAAGAATTGGTTTGTTGTTTTAATCATTTCAGGGCCCTGCTAATTTATCGCAAGTTTGATTATGAAAGCCACTGAATTTTTTATTTTACGAATATTGAAATTTATCGCAGAAGCTTGGTGGAGATCCATAATGGTCAGAGAAACATTGTGAATGTCTTGCTAAAGCATAATAGACAATTTTGTTGATAAAAGTGGTGACTGTTTTTTACCATGCTGCACAACATTCATAATGTATGTGACTGAATGATGCATAAAAGCAGCCCTCTTAAGGAACAGTCCTTTTTTGGTTTATAAATCATCCTAGTTCCTATAGAAAAATACAACAAACAATAACAGAAGTACAGTACATGAATAGATTATGATTAGTTGAATTATATCAAATTTATAAACTTAATGACAGAAGCTAGTCTGTCATTTAGTAGATGATGTTTTTTCAGTCATTAGTAATCTTAAAATAAATATCGTTAATTTTCTGTAAGTAATATAATTTTGATCAGCTGAACATATAATTTAAGAATGTTGTGTCCATTGTGTTCCTTATAATTAAAAGAAGGGGGGAGAGAGAATTATGTAAAATCTGTATTATTCTAATTACTCTGCATTCAGTCTAAACATGTTATTGTAATAATTTGATAATGTAGTCGCAGCTTTTGAAAAATTTAAGCATTTGATGCATTATTCCATTGGTTTTAGCTGTGCTGGTGTATGTTGTTATGAAGGCAGAGGACGCTTATGTTCTATTCGTTTAAGTATGCCGCTTTTGAAGCTTCGCCCTCGACGTGATTTGGTAGAAACTCTATTAGTAAGTTTTTACTTATTTATAATATGAATATATACCCAGTATAATGATGTATATTGAATATATGTTAAATATGATTATTCTGCTTGTAGAGAAGAAGCATACATTTAACATCAAATAAAAATTGTGTGTTGGAATTTAGATAAATTTGCATATGCTGCCATGATTCATATAATAATGTGAGCCATGGCAGCATACGTAAAACATTCCAAGAATTCTAAACTTGAGTTAATGTTATCCATCTTAACTTACTGATAATTTCCAAAAACTGGTATTCTGATGTTATATTGCCAAGAATATAGTTAGTGTAATTTTAGTTACTAAGGGAATTTTTCTTTTCTTATTTTTTTAAAAATAATTATTTGCAGTACAAAGTCCAAAATCTAGATTCGTTGGGACTTAGCAATTCTGGATTTGGGAATTTTCTGGACTTTAGATCATCAACTTAAATCTAGTAAAATGACTTGTGGAAATTATAAAATTAGAAATATGAAAGAAATAATGTAGAATTTATAACTTTAAGGGAATCAAAATTAATAAAAAAAAATTGAAAGCTTTCAGATTTTACATTACACCCAAAGGGACTTTTTTTAACCTTTTGTGTGTTACCTTTATTTATTAAATATCATGTTCTTTGCTCTTAAACTATAAAATTCAATTCAACAGCAGTATCACAAAATACTTTTAAATTGATCATAACTTTAGAATTTCTGATACACAGTCTCGCGCGCTGGAGATAAAAGTGCTTTATATATATATACATACACGTAGAGTTTTGCCATTGCTTGCTTTGAAATCATTGAGCTAGTTGATCAAAAATTCGTTGAAGTATAGTAAAATATGAAATCGATAATAAAACACATTTCAAATTCCAAATTAGGGCTTCCAGATGCCCATATTAGGTGGAAGACTACGTAATTCAAAATTTGATTGCTCCGAGTACCATTGTTTTATCACAGTGCAAGAAACATACATACATTTATGCAAATTCTTCATTGTTTTATTTCTTTAACACGGGGTGATAATATTTGGTGGCAACAATTTGAAAAGTGAACCGACATTTATAATGAATCTGCAAAATGCCAAAATGAAATTAATAGTCCTTTAGGCTTTATTAAACTATTCTTTCAACATTGCCTTTTTTTTCCTTGTGCTAATACTTTCTCTTTCATTTTATAGATGTACATAATTTGCTGTACAGTTAAAGTTCTATTTCGAAAATTCCTACTAAATTGTTGTCTATCGAAGTGTTTCTGTTCTCAACAACCTCTGCCACTTCCTTCATTATTGGTAGTTATATTTTCTAGTTTCCGGATAGGACCACAGATTTTGACATCTGCTAGTTTGTAGTGTTCTTCACTCTTATTCTACTAAATGAACATTGAGGAACTTAGTGAACATTCTAGTAGGGAGTTGTAAGTGCAAGCGAGAATTGATAGGAAAGGTCGTTGAAATTAAATTAACTGTTATAAAATTAAAATATACCATACAAGTTTATTGATTATTGAAGCATTGTCATTGCAAAGGAAAACTTCTGTTATATCATCTTCATTTATTACCACTTCTCGATATCTTTTCTCAAACCCCATTAATTAAAAAACTTCACATTTTTTCTGCCCTATCTACAAACCTTCAAATTTGGGGCTTAGGTGACATGTGTCCAGGTCTCATCACACTCTAGGTGATGTATCATGAGATTGGTGACTAAAGACATATTTTTCCTCTAAATTTTGTCTTGCTTCTGTTGAATGCTGAGGAAGTTAAGCTTGAGTTATTTTAGTTTAATTAATTGTTTATTATATCTATGTCTATTTCCCTCACATGCTTGAAATATGAGTCCTGAATAAGTAAATACCAACATATACTTGAGACTTATCCAGGGCCATCGCTAGACATTTTGCCACCCAGTGCAATCTCTGTGGCTCCTAAATTCTGCTGACAGGTGCCACCCTAAATTCTAAAAATTTTGCCATCCCTTAACGTTACATCCTAGTGCTTTTCCTAAATTCTAAAAATTTCACGACCTGGTGTGGTCATTACTAATATTTAATGTTTTAGACATATCAGCTTAAGTCATTTCTCAATTCTAGTTTGAGATGCATGCCAAGCACAAAGGCCACTACAGAGTCAAATTATTGAAAATTATACAGATTTATGTTAATAAAAGATTATGTTTCTTCAGTGTGAAGTGAAATTGCTGCCAATGTAAAATCAAGAATCAGGCCACTTCACATTTTGTTATGAAAAAATATCAAATGTGCATGCATAAACATTGAGCATACAAAAAGTTTCAAAACTAAATAAATAAAAATGTTGCTAGTGATCAGAAGGTCCGGATTTTAGATCATTCTGAATATTGGACATCTAGATTTTCAACTTTGTATTATATTTTGTTTTGCCTTTCTATTCAACTTTATAATACTACTATTATATAATTGTTGCCTTATATAAATAGATAAAGAACAGTCATGTGAGAACTTGTTCCTGTAAATAAGCAAAAGTTAATTATTTATCATTGAAGTGGAATATATAATGCTAGTCAAAGCACAGAAAAATAAAAGCTGTCTGACAAATCAAACTACATTTTACATCATATTGTATTTAAAATAAGAAAATTTTTTTTTGTGTGTGTGTGTGTGGGGGGGGGAAGAGTTTTGCTTCTAATAGTATTTTTGATTGAGGATTTTTAGAAAATTAAATATGATTTTTATGTGATAAAAACAGCTGTGTATGCAGTTAAAAATTATGAATTCTTTAATGCAGTTTTAAATCTCACCAGCCTGCCTCAGTTTAATAAAACAAGTTATTTATTCATCAACTTTCTTAAACGAATAACCTAATACAAATCTGGAATCCAAACATAATGATTCCATTAATAACTTGTGCTGATTTACTAAATATGCCAGTGTAACCTGGGAATTGGTAAAAAAAACACAATAAATATCCCATCACAAATACAGCATATACAGTCAAAAGTCGTTAATTCGGACACCCATAATCCGGATCTCAAAGCTACAAACTTTCTGCGCCATGCGTCAAAGAGACGCATGCGCATAGGCGTTTACGTGCGTGCGTAAGACCTTTACGGCTGCGAATATACTTGTGCGCATGCTCGTAAAATGTTTACGCATGTGCGTTTAATGTATAACGGACGGTGTAAGCTAAGCTAAAATTATCTAATTCAGTTAATGTTGCAGATTGCGTTGTTCCTAAATCTTCGAATTGGATCCGGATTATTATTTTTGCAGACTGTTAGAGCAGTTTTATAAAAGTAAGCTTAAACTTTCGATTATATCAAATAGAATTTCCGATATATATTTGTTAATATGTAAAGGATCTAAAGCGAAAGTATGTTTCGAAATCCGAAATCCGTTTATCAATTTCACGCTGCTCGGCGGGGGGAACGCCGCGGCGCACAATGATTTGGAAGTTGATCTGTCAGCACTATCCTTATCTTGAGGGCAGATGTTTTTATTTTATTTGGCTTATAATTCCTTACCAAGTGTAGTATTTCATCTCTATGTACTCCCTCTTTGATATGATTTAAAACAAGTTCCTCGTCATTATAATTCGCTTTCGATAGTGAAGAAAGTGACAGAGGTTATAGAAAACAAAAAAATTTCGATTGACAAATTAATCGATATTCTCGACACAGCAATTATACGACTTGAACAGCGGAACTTTGTAACTAAACAAGAAATTATGTCTCTTAATAGAATTAAAGAGAAGTATTATACATGAATGAAGCAACTTAAACAACTTACATTGAAAGAAATGTTTAATAAAGTAAACAAATAAATATTAAGCTTTTTCTTTTTGTAAATTTTGATACCCTTTAGATCATAGTTGTTCTTTATTTCATAAATTACAGTTTCATATTTTTAATTTTGTAATTTCTGCATGCCATCCTATGAGATTTAAAACTGATGATCTATAATCCGGAATCGACGAAGTCCCGACGAGTCTGGATTAACGACTTTTGACTGTATAGTTACATTTATAAAATATACAAGTATAGCTAGATTTATATATAATATAGCTACAATATATATATAGCTACATTTATAAAACATAGTTAGCATAAACTTAAATTTGCTATACCACGCTTGGAAAAGTTAAGAAATTTTGTAGAAAAATTAAAAGAAAGTTTATAATTGAAGATTTTGCTTCTTAGACATGTTAATCATTGAATTTCTTTTTAATTCATATGGGCAAAAAATTTCAAAATCGATAATCGATAATCCGGAATCGCTGAAGTCCCGACGAGTCCGGATTAACGACTTTTGACTGTATCAGAATTAAAATTAGCTTTATTTGATACAAAGATGTAAAGGGAACTTATTTTGATTCATTTGTTTTTTAATCATATAGGTTTTATTCACTGTTTTAGCTAAAAAGAAACATTATTTACTTGAAGTTTCAGTTTGCTGAAAGCTTCTGACATTTTGATTTTGAAATGTCTTTTGGTTTAGTTTAGAAATACAGAGGGTATGTACATTTCTAGAACGATTTTGATAAAGAATTAAAAAATGCAAATATTTCTGGAATAAAATTTTCTGGCAACAGCTTTTTATATAAAACAAGAAATATCATCTGCCACTTTTAAATTTATTCTTCTTTCAAAATGTCACATGTAAACAAGCTGTTGATTGAAGGATTTTCCAAAGAGAAATATTCCTATTCCATAATTAAAAAATGTGAAAAGCATAGTATTAAAATTTCAAAGTGCAGATTAAGCTATATTATTAATTGGAAAGGGGAAAAAACCTTAATCATTACTTCTGCATGGAAAGACGTTTACAAAGGAATGCCCGAGAAAGGTATGCACTGTTTCTAATGTTTAATCATTGGTAACAAGAGAATGCAGAAAGTTAAATCATTGGTAGCAAGAGAATGCAGAAATAAATTGCATAGTCCTTAACTTGGTGAAAAATGAGTTTATCTAAATAACTGCAATGAAAAATGTCTATTTATGATCGAAAACTAAGAGGAAAAAATATACA